AGTGACTACCGCACTGGAGCTCGGAGTCACGGGCTTACGGTTCGAGTTCCGGCGGTGCCATAAATGCTTGTAGTGGTTCGAAATCCACTTTAAAACTGTAGGTATTGCTCTAATATGACTGTAGAGTGTTGGGCATATACTTGGCAACATTACTTCGTAAAAAGAAAGCATCTCCTGCCTCGAAGTCTGCAGACGGCCTTGGCCCACCGTGGGGCTGTTGTACCGCGGATGATGATACATAATATATGAAATGATTGTTTTATAAAATAGAAATATTAATTTTATTATTCTAAATATTATCCAATTAACTGTTCAACTATAATCGAGTTTATCAATTGAAAATGAATCATTTCTATTTATATAAGTGAGATCCAATAAGTGATTATATTACGACTTCATCAACTCAACTTGTTATATGTGTTTTTTTTTCTAATGCAGCTCGCAAACACTTAGACGCTTGTCTTTGATGGCAATGTATTTGTCTTAAGGCAAACACTGCACCGACGTTACTCACAGCACTACCCAGGAGGTGCGTGAAGCTTGAAGATAAGCCACGGACGCGGAGCAACATTACCCCCGCAACGCTCTAAGATCCTGTTCACACCGGGACCTACGGTTTAAAGTGGATTCCAACCCACTACACACAGCAATGCCACCGCCGGGATTCGAACGCGAAATCTATGGTACCGAGAGCCAGAACGCTAGCCAATCGACCGTTTCGGCCCACTTGCTATATATGTTGAAAATAAACTCATTTGATGATTTTTTTTTTTTTTTTTTTTTTTTTTTTTAACTCCTCACTGTTTTTTTTCCCCCTTTATAAGTTTAAAAAATAAACTGCAATCTTATAAGTGTTCACATCTGTGCTATTAACAATGCCTAGCTCAAGAAAGCCGATCCCACAAAGCATTGGGACAAAATGCACACAAAATGAAATAATAAATGAACAACAAAGTAAAGTCGTAGTCCAAGTTCATCAATCAAATTTTTTACTATGTAGAAAGATAAAGAGGTGGGCCATTGTCAAACAGAAAATTTAAGAGTTATTCCTTTCATTTTTGTGTTAGGTTAGAGATCTTTTTATTTATGCCCTACAAAATTGAGGCTAACTAAAAATATGGTGTAATAAAGGATTTATACAACAAAGCGAATATGTTTTCTTCAATAGTGAGTTATTTTTTTTATATGCTTATAAAAGAATAGTAGGACGTGAAGTTTTGGATTTTAATAACATTTCAATTGAGATAAATTATTTTTATTGAATTAAACTGAAAAAGCTGTCATACATTTATAAATTTTTATTCATATCATACTTTTGTACGACATAAATAAAAACTTAATTCTTAAAATTCTAACTTGTGGTTTACTGAAACATATGGTGCGATAGTGATTCATACAAGAAAACGACATATTTTTTGGGCAATAGTGAGGGTTTTTTTTTCTAATGACAAAATAATATTTATACTTGAAGTTTATAAATTTAATATCATATCAATTGAGATAAATTGTTTTTATTGATTTAAACTGGAAATCTTTCGTGGATTTAGAAATATTTGAATTTATTAATTTCCGATAACAATTCTCAAACATTCTATAATTATAAATTATTAAGGATATAGAAGGGCCTGATGGACGTGAGACTAGCGCTCTGGCGCGCGATGACCTATATTTAGGGTTCGATTCTCTGGTGTGCCATAGATGTATATAGTGGTTCGGAGTGCACTTTAAATCGTAGGTCCCTGTCTAATATGACTTTTAGATATACACTGAAGTGACAAAAGTCATGGGATAGCAATATGCAAATTTTCAGATTGCAGTAGCATCGCGTAGAACAGGTATAAATGCGCAGAGCTTTCATTTCTGTTCAAGTTCTTCATGTGAAGAGGTTTTGACGTGATGATGACCGCACGACGGGAATTAACAGACTTTGAACGCGGAATGTTAGTTGGAGCTAGACTCATGGGTCATGCCATTTCGGAAATCGTTAAGGAATTCAACATTCCCAGATCCACTGTGTCAAGAGTGTGCCGAGAGTATGAAATTTCAGGCATAACATCCCACCATGGGCAGCGCAGTGGTCGACCGCCTGCACTTAACGATCGAGACCGGCGACGTCTGCAAAGAGTCGTAAATTCTAACAGACAAGCAACACTGCGTCAAATAACCACAGAAATCAATGTGGGACTTGTCTGTTAGAACTGTGCGGAGAAATTTGGCTTTCTTGGGCTATTCCAGCAGAAGACCGACTCGAGTGCCTTTACTGACAGAACGACATCGCTTGCAGCGACTCTCGTGGGCACGTGAGCATATCGGTTGGTCCCTAGATGAATGGAAAACCGTGGCCTGGTCCGATGAGTCACGATTTCAGTTGGTAAGAGCTGATGGTAGGGTTCGAGTGTGGCGCAGACCCCACGAATCCATGGACCCAAACTGTCAGCAAGGCACTGTTCAAGCTGGTGGTGGCTCCGTAATGGTGTGGGCTGTTTTTTCACGGCATGGACTTGGTCCTCTGGTGCGACTGGACCGAACATTGACTGGAAATGCTTATGTTCAGCTACTTGGAGATCACTTGCAGCCATTCATGGACTTCATGTACCCAAACAACGATCGGATTTTTATGGATAACAATGCGCCATGTCACCGGGCCAAAACTGTTCGCGATTGGTTTGAAGAACATTCTGGACAATTCCAACGAATGATCTGGCCACCTAGATCGCCCGACATGAATCCCATCGAGCATTTATGGGACATCATCGAGAGGTCTGTTCGTGCCCAAAATCCTGCACCATCAACGCTTTCACAATTATGGACGTCTATCGAGACAGCATGGCTCAATATTTCTGCAGAAGACTTCCAACGACTTGTTGAGTCCATGCCACGTCGAGTTGCTGCACTTCGCCGGGCGAAAGGAGGGCCGACACGATATTAAGAGGTATCCCATGACTTTTGTCACTTCAGTGTATGTCTGACAATCTTAGCCTGTGAAAAGAAAACATTACCTGTCTCGAAATCTGCAAGTAGGCAGACAGCCTTCGACGACCATGGGGCTGTTGCGCCAATGAAGAAGAAATGATGATGCAAATTTTCAATGAGTTAGCATTTTGTTTTTTCTCTCTAATGCAGTTGGGAAACACTTAGACAATTGTCTTCGATGCCTTAAGGCAAGCGCTGCATAGACGTTACTCACTTAGCGCTACCCCGGGGGAACATGAAGCTTGAAGATAAGCTACGGACTCGAAGTAACAATACCCCCGTAATGCTCTACGATCGTGTTAGACAGGGACCTACAGCTAACAGGGAATTAAGATTCGCTTGGTTTGTTTTGTCGCTCTACGGTCATCTTGTGCACACAGACTGGGACCAACAGTTTAAAGTGGATTCCGAACCACTATAAACATCCATGGCCCGCCAGGACTCGAACCCGAAACCTGTGGTACTGAGCACTGAGCACTAGCCCCTCGGTCATGTAGGTCCGTTTGCAGATAAATTATTTTACAGTTAAAAAGTCATGAAAGAAATTTTAAAAAATTGAAAGGATTAAAGCCACAAATGGAACATAATGGTATAACTATAATGATCCATAACGTTATCCATAATGGTCATTTATGGGTAAAAAGATATTTCCAATTGAATTTTATATGCAATTTTATTACTTTTGAATGTCATAGAAGCATCTTTTCAACAAAATGGTAAAAAGTGAGGTTTAGATCAAAGTATTAATATCGCTTATTTGCCCTTAGTAGGTTTTTTTTTTATTTCTTCATTTTTTAAGACTGAAACATTGTCACTATTTTTGCGAAATTGTTTTCCAGTAAAATAACAAAATCTTCAACAGAGGGCAGAAGAACCTTTAAACGTCGGATTAAAAAAAAAGTCTTATCGGAAAGACTTTGGCAGAAACAATCTACTTAATTCAATAACCGGGTATTTTTTTTGTTTAATATCGAAACGGTAACAAAAAAAAAAGTACACGTGAAATGTGCGTTAAAGGTTTTTAAACCATTATTGTTCCTTTTTTTTCAAGTAAAAATGCCAAAACTCATCTGGGAAATTCGGTGTGACGTTTTGCAGATTTCATTAAAGTTATAGTCTTTGCATTTGCCAACAATTGCATTTTTATCTTTTATCTTAAGATGGACGATTCTGAGTTTATCGCTAATTTTATTTTCTGTCTGATAGGGAAAACGCTTTTGACAAAACTAAATAAGAAATATTTTAGATAAAAAAATGTTTTAACTTGTTAAACATGAAAAAATAGTGTAAAGAAATAAAAAAAAAAGGTTACACAAGATTTATAGTGGTGTTTTCAATATCGCTTGTTACTTAACAAAATGGTACAAGGAAAAAAAAATGGTGGAATAGACATTTGTTTTCAGTAAATGGAACATTCTTTTTTTTATTATAGAATAGAGTTTTATTACAGCAACACATTATCGTAATTTGATTCGCTATTTTATATGACATTCAAAAATAATTGATTAAATTATAAAACTGACACAATTTTGCATTAATAATTACTTTCTACCAGTAATTTATAATAATAATTTTGGAGCAATTACTAAATAGAAGGTACGAAATATAATTTAAGTATCTGAAACAAAAGTTAAATGCATAACGAAAAAAAAAAATTAAAATTAATTATATTTTCGAAATAATTATACATTCACTATTTAACATCATAATTTTTTTATTAATACAATTGATAAATTCAATGCAAATGTAATTAATTTGTTAAATGCATCTATAATTCTTTATAGTATTTTAAGTTCTGTAAAGTTTTCAGAATGTTATAGTCTACGAACAACTATCTTAATTTTTTTTCCTAGGGCGATATATACAATGAGAAAATGTTAATTACATAAGTGCAGATGAAGTTTTATTTATAAACATACATGTAATTAGAGTTGATTAATTAATAAATGAATAATTAAAAAATATTTATTTGTGTTGCTGGTTTTTGTGAAGAATGTTATAAAAAATATATTATATTGATATAGTATACATCGAAGTTAAGCATCATTGGGCGCGGTCAGTACTTGGGTGGGTGACCACCTGGGAACACCGCGTGCCGTTGGCAAATTTGGGACCTGAATGGCCGAGTGTCTAGCGCTCTGGCGCTCGGTGCCACAGGTTTCGGGTTCGAGTCCCGGCGGTGCCATGGATGTTTGTAGTGGTTCGGAATAGACTTTAAGCCGTAGGTCCCGGTCTTCTATGACTGTAAGAGCGTCACGGAGCCGAAGTCAGACTTCTACCTACGGGTGCTCCATCACAACAGAAGCTGCTTCCTTCCCCTTCAATCATGAGTCCATATGGGCTCGTGGGCTTGGCCATCCAAGTAGGATAAGAAACAACAACAACATATAGTATATATTGGTCGTAAATCAAGTTACAAAACGTGTAGATTGGTTGTAAATGCAATTTTTTACAATGTTTTAGTAATTAAATATTATTTTAAAAATTTAATCATAAGGAAGATTGTTTAATTCTTAACTATATAAGAGAATGTATATTGTTATATATATATATATATATACATATTTCAGGTCAATCTTTATGCTTTGAAGTAGGAAGTAAAATTATTTATTTACACAATAAATATATGTAAATAGACATACATATGCACATACATATATATATATACATTACATTCATATGTTTATATGAACATATTTACATCATTATTTATTTTTATTCATATTAATTCCTATTTTTAATTCTATCTGCCAAAGTATCCAAAATGAAAACAATTAATTTCGTGGTTTATATCATATTTTAAAATTTTGATATAATAATTGTATATAAATTAAAACTCAAGAATAATGTATATATATATATCAATTTCACTTATATAATTTTTTTATTTGAGGTTATAAGGATGCGTATATATTTCGTTCAACTAATATATGCTTCCTTATCTAAAATAGAATAATATTTATCGTGAAAAAAAAGATTAAAAAAAATGGTGTTTTCATTTAAAATCCGAGTCGTATTTCATTGTAATGGAAACAGAAACCATAACCTACGACAAGAAAGCACTTTTGCGCGATATTAGTGTCAACCCAAACTGTATCCCTTAAAGTAATGAACTATAAACCAATATCTTTCCACGTTCAAAAAAAAGGGATATTCCCAAGTTGATTGTAAATCCCATATATGAAACAATTCCCAGAAAAATGCAAAAATCCATTTTTACGACGTTTTTTCCGTTCAATAACACCGAAACAACTGCTCTTCATTTGCATGGATGTCGACTGTTGTGTTTACCAAATTTCGATAGGAGACGTAATCGATGTGCAGAAAACCGGAAATCAAATTTATCAACTCTCTTGATTTACCATCCATCATAGAAAGTAGGAAGTAGTGAAGAGGAAGCTTGCCTCGGAGGCATCTGTTTTCGAGGCCGGTTGATGCGATTAGAGGAAGAGGGAACTTGCAGAAAAGGCAACTAAAGTTAAACGGAATGGATTTATAGTAATCGAATAGGACTGAGTTACCACACGCCGTCGGCCATTCATTAAAGTGAGGGACAGCTGCCTTGAAAAGTACCGTTGACTTTTCTATAGATTTCATTAAGTGCCATATAGATAATTGTGGGCTGCAATTGTATTATGCCTAGTAATTAGGAGTTACTTGAAGGCCTTTTGCAATGCCTTTTCTAAGCAATTGCATTGAGTGATGGAATTTAATAATTAACTTCATCAATAAATTTTTCATAGTTTCATGAGATAACCTCAGTAATTAATTTAGTAATTAATTGACGTATTTTATGAAATACATACATTCTCATTAATTTTATATAATTATTTACTTTCTTAAATTTAAAAGACTACTTAATACACAGAATAGTTATTTCGGATTCGATTAAAAAACTATATTAATTTTTTATAACATTTCTTCACAAAAGCAAGTAACACGAATAAATAGTTATTAATTGAATTCAGTTATTAGTTTAATATTTCAAATTATATGTATGTTTATAAATAAAAATATCAACTTCCCTCATTTAATTAACGTTTTCTTATTGTATATATAGTCATAGAAAAAAATTATGAGACAAAATATTTAGAGAAAAAGCCGATGGAATTTAAAAGGACTGGATTTATGGAATATTATTTATTTAGATATAATAATTTATATCCTGAAAAAAGAATAAAAATGGGTATTTGCATTTAAAATCCAAGTCGTATTTCATTGCAGTGGAAACAGAAACCATAACCTACAACAAGAAAGCATTTTGCGCGATATTAGTGTCAACCCAAACTGTATCCCTAAAAGTAATGAACTATAAGTCAATATCTTTCTACGTTAAAAAAAGGATATTCCCAAGTTGATTATAAATCCCATATATGCACAACTCCCTGAAAAATGCAAAAATCCATTTTTATGACGTTTTTCCGTTCAATAACACCGAGTCAACTGTTCCTCATTTGCATGGATGTCGACTGTTGTGTTTACAAATTTCGATAGGAGACGTAATCGATGTGCAGAAAACCGGAAATCAAATTTATCAACTATCTTGATTCACCATCCATCAAGTCCTTGAAGTAGGAAGAGGAAGCTTGCCTCGGAGGCATCTGTTTTCGAGGCCGGTTGATGCGATTAGAGGAAGAGGAACTTGCAGAAAAGGCAACGAAAGTTAAACGGAATGGATTTATGGTAATCAAATAGGATTGAGTTACCACACGCCGTTGGCCATTCATTAAAATGAGGGACAGCTGCCTTGAAAAGCACCGTTGACTTTTCTATAGATTTCATTAAGTGTTTTATACGTAATTGTGGATTCATATTTTGTTGAATAATTGAGACTTATTTGATGGCTTTTCCACTGCAATTGTTTTATTGCGTATAATAATAAATTAATAATTAACTTCATCCAGAAAACTTTTATATTAACTATTTTATAATTTCATGAGATAATCTCACTAATGAATTTATGGAAATATTTATGAAATGCATGCATTCTCATTAATTTTATATGAGTTATTTATTCTATTGAATTTAAAACTATTACTTAATGCACGAAATAGGTATTTGGGATTCGATACGACACATACAATATTTTTTATCTGGTTTCTCCACAAAAGCTTCCAGCACAAATAAATAGTAATTAAAAATTTATTTGTTAGTTTAACATTTCAAGTTACATGTATGTTTATAAATAAAAATTCAACTTATTTAATTAGTATTTTCTCATCCTATTTATGACCGCAGAAATAAACTTTTGAGACAAAATGTTTACAGGAAAAAGGCAACGAAAGTTAAACGGAATATATTTATGGTAATCGAATAGGACTGAGTTACCACATGCCGTTGGACATTCATTAAAGTGAAGGGGCATCTGCCTTGAAAAGCACCGTTGATTTCCATATATTTAATTAAGAGCTCTATAGGTAATTATGGGTAAGCATGATTAGTAATTAAGAATTATTTGATGGCTTTTGCAATGCAATTTCTAAACAATTGCTTTATTCGGTACAATAAGTGAAATTAATTATTAACTTCGTCAATAAAAGTTTTTAATTTAACTTCTTATAGTTTCATCAATTCCATATAGTTTTCAAATCAAACAATTTTCCATTTTCTGTAACATTATACATATATATTTTTATTAGAACAAAAACAATATATTTTTCAAATAAAATATTTGTAATGAGTAAAAGGTTTTAACTGATTATTTTTTAAACAATAAAAATTTTTAAATTCTTTCAAGAATTGAAATATTGACCATAATTCAAAATTTTCTCTTATTAAATACTATTTAAACATCTATAAATTGTTGTAATTGTTTTAATTGTTGTAAATAATATACATTTTTACTTCTATCTGCCGAAGTACACTTCCTGGTTTATTAGATATTTTAGAACTTTTATATTGTAATTGCATATCAATAAAAATTCAAGAATCATATTTATATAATTTTTTATTTGAGGTTGCAAGTATGCAAATATATTTCTTTGACATAATATCTGTTTCCTTATTTAAAATCGATATTAATGCTTAATATTTTTTCTCGTGAAAAAAAGAAAAAAAAAAGGAGTATTTTCATTTAAAATCCGCTTTGTATTTCATTGTAATGGAAACAGAAACCATAACCTACAACAAGAAAGCATTTAGTGTCAACCCAAACTGTATCCCTTAAAATAATGAACTATAAACCAATAACATAAAGCCGAATCTTTTCACATTACGTTAAAAAAAAGGGATATTCCCAAGTTGATTATAAATCCCATATATGAAACAATTCCCAGAAAAATGCAAAAATCCATTTTTACGACGTTTTTTCCGTTCAATAACACCGAAACAACTGCTCTTCATTTGCATGGATGTCGACTGTTGTGTTTACCAAATTTCGATAGGAGACATAATCGATGTGCAGAAAACCGGAAATCAAATTTATCAACTCTGTTGATTCACCATCCATCAAAAGGAAGCTTGCCTCGGAGGCATCTGTTTTCGAGGCCGGTTGATGCGATTAGAGGAAGAGGGAACTTGCAGAAAAGGCAACGAAAGTTAAGCGGAATGGATTTATGGTAATCGAAT